AATTCAAAAAACTTCTTAAATTATATTTCAGGTTGGTGTATATAGACCCTTCATTTACTTCATTAAAATTAATGGCCAAAGACAATAAAAAAAGAGATCACTTTTTGACAATTAAGCTATCACCACAGGTAAGTTCATTGCAGACTCTCATTCATGATGGCCTGGGTACAATAGAAACTGTGTAGCGAGATGGGTTTGTACAGCAAAACATTTCTTCAGCATTTTTCACATTTCTTTGCAAAAATCTAAGTAATATTAGTGCCATTTCGGAAAAGGAAGAGGCTATACAGTGGTGTTGTTATATGCTATATGGTGTTGTTGTGCAAAGGGGTGTTGCTGCGTTATTGATTATTGGCTTTGTATTGAATTGTACAGTGTTCCTGCAACTACATGTACATGTATATATATTTATATTAAGTAGAATGAAATAGAACAAAACACCAACTTGAAGCTATATTAACTCTGTTTATTGGACGTTTCGGCACTTCGGCCTTCTTCAGCAAACTCATATATACAGTTTAACAATTGAGGAATTTTCATTTAAATTAATTTACATTTGACATTTGAATTTGCTGTTCTTTCTAGCATCCCAATGTTCCACCAACTTGTACGACTGACCTTCCTGGTAAATTTTCCTTTTCCTGGACAAGCAGCAAGGTACATGTAGAGTTACACTTATTAGATAAACCACACATCAGCTGTGGTCATTAAGGATTAAAAGAAATTGTCAACATGATAATTGATCATTGTTGTCCAGACATTTAATTAATGCACCATGCAATGTAATAATGAAATAAACTGCCTTCAAATATCATCAAAAACACCAAGTTGTGCCTTTATCACTAGTTGCTTGTATTATAAAGAAGATCAATAGTTTGATTGATGGTAGTCTTAATTGCAAATAAGCATTTTATCACAGACTATCAAAAGCAAACATCAGCAAAAAAAAAAGAAACATTGTCAATGCTATATTGAAGATTTAATTTTTCTTTTGTAGGACTATCAATTAAAGGAATTGCATCATCAGTTTGAACAAGTAAGCGCTTCTCTAAAGAAAAAAGAAAATGAGAGCACACTTACACATAAAATGTAATGCTGCACAGTAATTTGAGTTAGTAATAAAGGACTGAAGACAATAATGAGTGCACTAGCAGTCGTTGGAGTCAAGGGATGGTCCAACCAATGGCTCAACATTGAATTCCTACTCATCCCTGGTTCATGTCTCTTTCTCTCTCATGCTCTGTATCTCCTGCCCTTCATGAATTGCTTGCAATACAGAGATATGACTGGGGGCAAAACAGTACTTTGAGTACATATGATGTAACTTTGTTTCATTTGTTAAAGGTGTCTATTTATCTCTTTAGGCTTTAACAAATTATCAAGAGTTTTGGGACATGATGGATGAGATTGACCAAAACACATGGGTATTGGAACCTGATCATCCTCAGCGGGCATGCACTACCCGTAGGATTGCTCTAGGTAATATTTATAAAGTTAACTGAACTGTTTGTGCAGTCAACGGTAAATCTGAGGTTTAGTATTCAGACTTAATTGGAAGTTGTGTTTTGCTAAGTAACAGTCAATAAATAATTCCTTATGATTACAATGACAAACAAAAACCAAAGATACAGCTACAAAAGTTACAAACAAACAACACCTTACAAACTGTTCATCTTTCCATCGCTGCATGATGTGGTGTGGCCCTATTTTTGTACAGCGGTATTAATTATGAGACTACTGTTGTTGATAAGGAATGCCACATTTAATGTATTTAAGTAATAATAAGAGGGGTAATCTAAGTCTGAAAAGGAGTCTCCAGAGAACAATGTGAGACAAGAAATCTTAGATGAAGCAAGAGTATAACGCAATGCTAGATGATCTCTTGAATTCTGTCTAATTAATAAGTTCTCTAATTCTGATCTTTTTTCTTAATGCTAAAGGCAACAACTCATCAATCCACATAGACATTAACCCACTTCACCCAAGACTTCTACCTGAGTGTAGATTTTTAGGAGCTGATCATGGTAAATATTTCATGAATTAGGAAGTAGCATCAGACACCGGCATCATCAGGTCACGAAAATATTATACAACAGTAAAACTAGTAAAATTAGCATATGGGGCTAATTTTGCTAGTTTTACTGTTGTATAATTATATTTTTGGGAACTGATGATGCCAGCGTCCAGCGAAAGCTTGTCAAAACTTATTTGACTTTCGACAGTAGTGTACAGCCCTCAACACGCATTTCAAATATTTCATATTTATTTCATGAGTATTCCTTCAATTTCCCCTGTTTTGGACTCCCTGTGATTGAGAGAGAATTAACATTCTCTAGGAAGCTCAATAGAGGATAGTTAGAAAGAGCAAAAAAGAAGAGAAATGTATGCAGCAGATGTTTTTTAATACATTTTACTATTTGAGGAGTTCATCCTTCTTTAGAAATCATCTCGGGTTACATGTGCATTTAAATATTCAGATAAATTAATATTCAAAAATTATGAGCAGTAAAGAATTAAATGAAATTTGGATTTTCTTTCCTGAACAGTTATCATCCCTCTTAGAGAGAATCTCAACTCTAATCTGAATCTGTGGTAAGTATTAAGAAATTTATGACTGGATGAATAACGAGATGAATAAATAGATGGAAGTGTGAATCAATTTTTGGATGTATAGACCTAATCAGCTAACGCGTTGCTATTTATGTTACCCCCCAATTCAAATCCTGTGGGAAAAAGAACTTTTTTTCTAAGAATTCAACTGGGAAATGAAAATACAACGAGCAATGAATCTTACTCCCGAGTGGTTTGAATGGTGTTGGACCGTTTATAGCAACGCATTAGCCAATTAGATCTATCAATTCAATGGACTTATTAAAGACCCAAATGCATGGTCCAAGAACATTTGGTGCAATTTTCTCAAATCCAAAAATTTGGCATCTTTGATTATGAACCAATCAGAAAGCAACGTGCATAAAAGAAAAGAAACGACTACAAAGGTTCTCACATACATGTAAAAAGTTGGTTGATCTAAAAAATGCTGACATAATTATTGCATTTTTTATACAGGAATCCTGAAAGCTCTGTATTTATTAACCTCCAAAATTTACTAAAATTGAAATTTCCTTCTCCAACTAATACCAAAAARGAGGTACGCTAATAGCAGCCAAGAAGCAATTAATACAATCCAAATCAAATATAACCACAGATAGCCCAGTGAATAATGAAGACTCATAGCAGTCGAGCTATCTGTTGAAGTGCATGTTATACCGTAATGTTAGGGGTGGGCTGGGATATTGAGGGAGCTGGCGTTACTATCAGCTATCAGCATGTCACGTGTATAGCTAACCTTGAATGGCAGCAGATCTGTAGTTGCTATGCATGCATTAAAAATAGAACTCGCCATGAACATAGTTTCCCACAGGAAGCCCATGTTAATATGTCATGTTTGCTGATACATTGTTTTTTACTGCTGTAGGACTTCAGTATGGAGTGTGGTATTTGCTATGCCTATAGGTTGAATGAYGCCATACCTGATAAAGCATGTGATGACTCTAGGTGTGGACAGCCATTCCATCAACTTTGTCTCATCGAGGTACAATTATATTTATACCTTCCCATTTTTTGAATCATCAGGTTCTGTTAATCAATCTTACATTTTTTTCATTGCATTTTTAAAAATGTCACACGTCTGYAATGGTGTTGACAGAAAGAAGAGCCACTAGCTAGTGCTCTGGTCTGAAACCTTCTCATTTAGAATTTTTTCATGCTGTTTCCACAAACCTGCAGGCTTAGGGTCATCAGAAAAGTTAAGTAATTTTTCAAAATCTCAAAAGTAGGGAGTCTAAGGTTTATCATGATAATAAAACAGGTTTTAGCAGTAAGCCACATCACCCTCCCATTCCAACCACATCACAACCCCAAGATCTTGAGACTCTGATGTTTTCTTACAGTGGCTGAAGTCATTACCATCAAGTCGTCAGAGTTTTAATATGATATTTGGTGAATGTCCATATTGTAACAAGGTAAGTTGAAACTGTTTTGATRTAAAACTGTACAATTTTTTAGCCTATCCTGTGCATTGCTGAATAARAATARCCCACTTAAGATCACTGTKGTTTTATTGGGCACACACAAAAGARCTATAATGRAGAGGCTTCAYAGAAAAGAAGGATTATCAAATTTCTGTTATGTGTGGTCAGTCAACTGGGATTTTGTAATTTTTCATTTATCAACTGGGATTCATTTGYACTTGATTTTCAGCCAATCACAGTGAAGGTGACAGGAACAAGGTGATGTCATATTTATTGATASAAGTTAAAGAACAGAATCTGGTGAGATGTGAACTGAGCTACTTTGAATTCAAAGTTCAAGTTATATTAGATTCAAATGAACCTTGCATATGCTACGTCAACAACCAGAAAAAAAAATTCTTCAAATTCTTCCTTTATTGCACACTTTACATTATACAAAAATAATTTATAAATAAATATACATCTTGTTTAAACAGMTCTTTCGCTAAACTTTGTACACTATAATGATACTAAATTTCTAAAATTAAACTCCTAATCTTTAAAGATATCTTGTCCTGCAAGCTTTTATACTGACATAAAGAATCTTAGATAAAACTATGAACTGGTCTCAGTCAATTTGGAAAACCTTCACAAGGAAATATCCATGCAAATCCGCCTGGGATAGGGTGGTTGTGCTTGTCTTGGTCATTGCATGAAAATGGCTAAAATACCTAACTGAAAGACTTTTTTTTCAATTCGTACAGTGAAGATTGTTCAAGAAAAGTTAGAAATCTAAACTATTCCTCAAAGAAGTCGTGTACATTTTTTGTGTCATATGATTGTTCATTTTCACTGTTCATTGTGTCTTTTCTTTGCTTTTGCTGAGTTAATGATGTTGTGCTGCTATTATTGTTGTTTTCATCGTGCTCTGTTGCGTGACGTGTTGTTGGTTGACCTGTGATATCCCATGATTCGTCTGTTGAATTGTGAAGAAACACGTTGAAATTAGATCGATAAATTTAAAACCTTTTTCACTACTTTCAAGTATTAGAAGTTATTTAAGGTCCGATTATGGGGACTTCCCGTCCAGTCCGAAATATGCAATAGTCTGAGATAGATTTGGCTTTCTTGCGCCTCCATCCAAGACGGACACATTAATTGCACGACAAATCGAGTGTATGTATAAGAAAAAAAACATATTTACAACATTTTTTTCCTCAACTTTACATGAAATATCTTTTTTTAGACTCCTCGCAGCCGTTTTCCCGTGTCGTTTTCTAATCCTCCCCACAAACAAACAAGCAAGCAAAAAAAATGGTGGGGAGAATGAGGAGACGACACCGGAAAACGGCCGCGAGGAGTCTAACTTTTTTTCGCACGTAATAATTTCAAACTCCTGTAGCAACATTATGGATAAAATGATGTATAATTTCGTAATAAAATGATAATTATTATTATAGATATTCATTAAGTAATTATTAATTGATTGATTTTAACAAGACCTACTTTCTTCATCTGCATTGTAAGTCTCATCTGGATCGACTTCAAAGTCAGCGTCGTCGCCACCTTCTTTGATTCTCTGAGCTCTTTCTCTCACCCTCTTGGCTTTTAGTTCTCTTATTCTTTGCTTTTCGATGATTTCTGCCTGTGCTTTTGCTCTTTTTCTGCTTTGCGCGTTCATCTTCTCTTCAATCTGTAGACAAAAAAGAATTGAAATGAAAAACTTCGAAGTTCGCCTATTGAAGACCGATAATCATTTCGGAAAAMGAAAGTAAAGCACGAAGCTCGATCACTCAAGGGATCGACTGGAGTGTCATTTGTCGAGTGATATCAGAATGTAATTTAGATAGGCCGAAAACTAATCGGAAATCCCGTATGATACCACGACGTGTAGATGTTGGAGGGTAGCATAATGGATTAGCAGTTTACGATACGGTAGCCACAAAAAAGATATGTAAAGCAATTTTGGGCAGCCATCTTAATTTCAAAGGTATATGATAAGACCAAGGCCTATATGTAAAAACAAGAGTAAATGTAGCCATTTCGCGAAAGGTTCGGATGTTTGGTTGAGTATATACATTGTAATTCATGAAGTTTACGTCTTATATGTTGACTTATTTTTACCTCTAATCTCTTTGTTTCAACGGCCATATCTAGTTCCCTGGCTTCTAGTAAACGCTTTTTTCTTTGCGATGTCCTGGCCAMCTTYTTCTGAATTTCCTTTAAAATTTAAAGAAAAAAATAATAATGTTTATAACGGATAGAAGCTATAATAATCTAAATTAACAGAGTTTACTTTTTGTCTGTTTTCTTCCGCCAAAGCTTGTTTCTTGGCCAGCATCTCAGCTGTTAGTATAGGCACGTGGTCCAGTTTCTGTTGCCGTATAACAATTAATCAATAATTAGTATATAATAATAGATCATTGATATTAGAGTGCAAGCAATAAATCCTGAAAAACTTAAAGAGCATATGACATGAAAACAGTTTTTTTGCCTGTAAAAGGACTATATTTAAATACTCTATAATTTTAAAATTTGAGAGAGTTCTGAAAAAATCTCGCCGAGTTACGGCTTTTTTAATTCACGTTTTTGGGGCTCATTTTTGTACCCATTCAGAGTAAACTGAGTAAATAACACTCTGTTCGCAAGGTAAGTTTTGCTGCACTCCGCAATCTTCTCTTTGCGCCAGTAAGACCTTTTTCGAATTAAATAGTGCTAAATTGTACTGAATTATGTGAATTTCTTTGTTTTCTCTAGTCTAATCTACACGATATTGCGCTTTTTTCATTATTTAGTTAGTACTTTTTCACGSTTTTAGTGCTTGCACTCTATTAAACTGCAGTGTGATTTCCATAATGTATTCCATAACCGATTCGTATCATGTTTGTTATGCATTCTTTGACGTTTGTCTAATGCTTTATTAACGTGATAAGTAATTGTCTTTCCCTTTATTGTCATATTTTTCTTTCATTCGTTTATTTATTCATTTTCTTATCCATTAACGGTTCTCACCTGTAACTTGGGAGGTCGTCGTAGTTTATTCAAACTCGCGTTTTCGTCGAGTTTTACTTCAAAAGCGACACCACTAGAAGAATTTCGCCTCTGTGTCGTGATGTTTGAAGGTTCGGCTACATAAGAATGAAAATGATTAAAAAATGCTTTCCTAATTGAACTAAACTTTTAGTATAAAAATTTAAAGTGCCCTTTATATTGTTCTGTCAGCCTGAGAAAGAATATTTACTTTGAAGATAATATTATTTAATCTTGCGTAAATCTTAAAACATGCGTAAATCCATCGCTATTTTTTTAATTCTTGATCGTATATGATGACGTTAGTAAATACTCTAGTTTGAACAGATGTCATATAAAGTGTTAAATCTAAAAAACGAGATTCTGACCTACGTTTTTTTTTGTTTTTTGTTTTTTCATTAGACGATTTTATTCCTTTTATCACTCCTGTTTATGGAACACAGATGCCGGTGTATGCAACTTTTTATGTTGCTTTTATTTATTTATTTTTTAATTATTTTTCTTTTCTGTGTCTTTTTTCACACTTAGTTTTATTATATGACTAAGGCTACAGCTGTAGAAATAGTATCCTGGTTTTACTACCGAGTGGGAGTTCGTGTAACCTAAACACTATATCTTATCTATATTTTGTTTCAATTTCATGTTTCTCATTTTTTTAATTTTTCGCTCAGGTAATATTGCACCAAGAAAAAAAAGAACCTTTTTTATCCAAAAATATACCACCATGAAGATTGATTAATACTGTATGGGGATAATATGAAAATGAATTGTAACTTCACAAAATTTCTTGAAGTTAGTTAAAAAAAATACTTAGAAGTTGCTTTTTTTTWAAAAAACGGAAACGAAAATGTAGTTAACAATTTTCAACAAGGTGCAATTCGAACGCTATTAATTGTAGCTTTAATTCCTTTGGATTCCTACTTGACGAATATTAGACTAATATTTGTGTTCGGACGCTAAATATTTAGAGAAATAATCTCCGTGTTTACTGAAATTCATCAAATAATTCCCTTATCATGCCTATATACATGCAACATGTACATCATAGTTTGTGCACATGTAGTGTCTAGTGTACTTACGATTTTTATTCTGGAAGTTTTCTTTATTTCCGTGCTGTGTAGGACTTCTATGATGGCCATTTGGGATTATCTTAGGGCTGTTATTTTGCTTTCSGATTGTTTGAAGATTATTATTCGAGTGCTCGTCAATTCTTGTCGAGGTTGACTGAACGGCATGGCTTTCAGAATTATTGTCTGTAGTTTCTGGTTTAACTTTACCTTTAGTAATCTGTGGTGAATTGTTTTGGCTGTTTTGTTGAATAACTGTAGACTTTGATGAGCCACAGCCCATATTAACTCAACAAACTTCAAATCAAACTCTAGCTAGTTTGTTCTTTTGAGTGACTGGTCAGTGCTACCAAATTGAAATGTTTRTGGCTTTGTGAAAACGATACTCTGGTACCACGTTTGCTTGAATCCTCTATTTCTGACCCCTGGGCTACGCTCTCAATTTCCTGATATTCTCTGCCCACTCTTTAATTGTCTTGCTCAAGGCACCTCTGTTTGCCGAACAAATTCGATGGCTTCGCCGTGTCTATTTATACAAAGAACTGTTCATTTTGATTTGCAATTCGATGGACGAATCCATGGCGAACCATAAACAATTAAACACATGACCTTTGTTGCTATAGTGACGTTTCAAGCATTTCGCAATTGTTTTTGTAATTAAGGTTTTTTTGAAGTGTTTTTGTTCTAGAAATAAGAAGTATCTGTGTCAACTGTGTCATTTAAGAAAACTTTATAATAAAGGAGTTTAAGCATTTTCTTCCCCTAAAATACCATGGTTCTTTTAKAATTATCTATTTGGTTGATTTTGATCTTGTTTCAGGGTTTTTTGGTGCTCGGTATCAAACTGATTAATCCAAAACCCACATGATTGCGTAAAAACAATTATTTATATCAGACTGAGGAAGGTGCTTTACACAAACTTCCGCTATAGGAACTTTAATTTKGAATCAGAGGACACTTTACGTTTTTAAACAAAGACGAAAGAAAAGAGTTTTAAGTAGCATTTCATACAGTTCATTGTCTGAATTCCTTTATTATTTAATCATTGTTTTAGCTTCATTATTTACCAGTATTTAGATTTTCTTACTCGAAAGACATTTTAGCACAATAATGAGAGATAATATGTGTATTTTTTCTCTTTGTGTTGGTTTTTCGTTTTCTCATCTATCCTTCTTTTTTCCTTTCTTGTATGATATTTTGTTTTTGTTTTGTTGGTTGTTCTCGTGACGTACTGTCACGGTTGGTGTCCAAGCTACCGTTGCTCCTCGAAGCTACCGTCATTTTTAAGACCCACCTTCCCAGCCTCCTGAATCCTTTCAAGACGTATTTTTGAGGTTTTGGATGTTCTATTTTTTACCGATTTAATTGTTTGTATTTTGAACGTGACCACTCGAGTACCCAAAGACAACTCTCAAAGCTGTCAAAAAGAAACGATTAAACTATTTTATCCCCGACCATTAAGCACTCATTTAACACAACCGATCATTTARGGGCGGGGAAATTTACAGGTTGATATCATATTARATGGCCTTCTTTGTCAAAMTWCCTACGTAAAATTMGRAMTTTTAGCYGTGTTTTAGCCATCCATTAGCACTTAACGCTCGAATACACTGATTTGACGTTTTCTGGACTCGGAAGCGCTCTTGAACGATGACAATASATAAGAGTCAAKGGGTGGATTTGGGTTTTGAAGGCTTCTATCGTGAAGGACGCAAAATGGYGYGTAAATTGCTCAAATTGAATCTATATTCATTATCAATGGGGTTTTACTTTGTATGAAAGGGCCCAGTTGTTCTTKTTCTCTGCGAAAGACGCGTGAGAAAAGCGTTTCCAGGGAGACAGGGGACTCGCATTATTGACGTTGCGATTTCACTTMGTACCATGATTCTTTGCGAGATTAATTTTTGTATTGAATCTAAAATAGGAATTATGAACATAGAAGAGCCATTTCACTAAATCAGTTTTATTCCACAAATTAAATATAAAAGAATGTACAATTTCTAAAATTTAAACTTATATGGCACATAAACTAAAGCTTAAGCAYATTTTCTAATCTGTTTTGGTGGTATTGAACACATTCATATAGCGTTTGCGTAATTGTCTAAACACACAAATAGCTACTAAAATTAGCATTATGTGCTTTTTTGGCGATCTTGAAATAACAGTGCTCACTTTCAACTGTCCAAACAGGACTGATTTGAATGGTCATTTCGTTTGAAAGTCTAAACATGATATAACCATTTTATAAATTATAATATCCGATCAACTAGTTTGTTTACTTAGCAACTGTTTTCTATTTAAAAGCAAAATACTACTGCTACGAATTAGGMAAATGCGATTTTTGGCGTTGCCCCTAACCCTTGCAATTGTGCGCCGATCCAATGCGTCCAAAATGAATGCTAGTAAACGATAAATAGATCTAACTTTCAAAGTAAGGATTAATATAAATAAATAAATAAACATACGTTAAGAACGTACGGGTACCTCAAACTGCTCAAAACGAAAAAAAAAAATAAATTAAAAAGGAACTCCTTTCCAGGACGACTGCTAGTAAACGATAAATAGGTCTTAACTTTCAAAGTAAGGATTTATATAAATAAATATATAAATAAACATACTTTAAGAACGTACGGGTACCTAAAACTGCTCTAAACGAAAAAAAAGATAAACTAAATAAAAAGGAACTCCTTCCCCCCTCTGCACTCGTCATCAGCTGAAAATTCGTTCCCAGGACCCTATAGTGTTGTATCCCTTAGTTTGAGGTCACTCCCTTACAAAACCACTTCTGTTGATGGGCTTTCCACTGATCCTTCACAAACAAGAAGCTGAAAAGGGGACACCTCACAAGCCTGAGCAACAATTCTTTGTGGCTTGTGTTCCGTCTGTTCGGGACAAAGTTCCAGTGTAACTTCTAAGTTATTGGGTTGTCTTGTTCGACGTGAGGCAATGGAGACTACACAGAGGCGAAGAGAGGGAAGAATTGAGGACACAGCTAGTATTCCTGCCCCGGTAAAAAACGCAGGGCTGTGGGAGTGGAAGTGCTTGATTAAAAGACCTGGGAGGAAATGTCAAAAATTCTCATCAGTGTCGAACTTTATTATCAAATTCTTGGCAAATCCTAATGTGAATGTACAATAGCTTTCTTCAAGGGTCACTGCTCTAATAGTAATGGTAGTTTTACCAGCCGAGACGACACTCTATGTTAGAAGTCGCGGAAAGAATAGTTTGGACTTTCGACAGTAAGACACGGCTGTCTTTCAATATGGCGCATGCGCGGAAAGTTTTAAAKGAGACTGTTGCAGCTTTGTTTAGATGCTTTTGGTTTAAACTATTGTTGTTGAATCTTCTCATTGCTATTTCTTGCATTATTACTATTGCTTGCTTTTATGCCACTGATACTTCTCTCGTCACTGTTATCGCACATGTCGATTGTACTATAACAAAACGAATCTACATACCTGCAAGAGGAGCACCAGCAGCAACWGAAACGGAATTGACAAGACACCCAAAGCCAAACGCCGATGAAACCTGTTCAGGTCTTACAGTACTTAACAATAAATCATTCAATGAAGTKGCAAAACCACCGTCAGCTAGTCCATAYAAAATACAAATGATAATCAAATGTTCATACTTATACGCGAAGGGTATGGAAAGGTGGACCATGGCATCGAGGAGTTGGGATGACTGGAATACAAAAAGGGTAGACACACGAGGCGTATTTTGGAGAATTCCKGCTAAGATCCGTGAGGTTAAAGTGGCTAAACCAATGAATATGAGAAGTTGGGAMGACTTTGATGATGATATACCAAGTTTTTCGCTGAATTCAACCTAGGTAATATAGAGCAAAATTCTCCGCTTAGTTCGAAAGAATGATAATGGTATCTCAATTCCGGCAGTATTGAACAATGTGGGATAGATTYCCTAATGAACGTATCTGATCATGCGTAAATTTGACACATTACGAAAGGGAATCGTAAGGATTTTCTGAGCAAATGTGAAAGAACGGCTATGTGGTGYTTCATTTGTGTTACGGCCTCGGATTTTGTCCGGTTCTCAATAAATCGCGTGATTTTAGTTAAATTGGAGGGCTCTCTCCTGTCGCCATTGGTTCTCTCCCTTCTTACTCTGGTTCTTCCTCACAACCGGTTATGTCAATGTGTCGTTAAATKTGAMGGAWTTSCGCATTGATTGRGGCAAATTTGTGACTTCTGCATTCTACAGGATTTTCATGAACGTTTGACATGATGATCATTCCTATAGTTAGTTTAATTTTACTTTCGAAAGACTGCGGGAATAGATATTCAATTTCAGTTGTAAGAGAGATGAAAAGCAACAACATAGACAGTTTGGATTTACAAACATCTTACCAAGTATATCTGGGGTACGTAATGMGCTAAACCAGCGAAAGTCATYGACGCAACACTAACAGTGTACGAAGAATTTCTCAAGATCGACCCATCAAAAACCTTGCTTGGTTTCGTCTTTAAAGWATTGTCCTTCTGTTCTTCGTATTCTCTCGATTCTTTCTTTGTATCAGAACGGTAAAGAAACGCGATCAACAGAGGGAGCACAAACAAAGCTCCCATCAGGCGGCAGCTGCGTTCCCAGCCATATTTATCGAGAGACAGCTGAAGAAGCGGCCCGAATGCCAGATAACCTGTGCCTCCGCCGGCACATACGATGCCCAGTGCTATGTTCCTGCGACGTTTAAAGTATTGATTACTCATGAACATCGAAGAAGTGTACAAAAAGCTTGCACCAATGCCGAACCCAATGCTATATGTAAAAAATAATAGGACGATGCTTTTGGTAAAYGATGTCAGGACGAGACTAAGCATACTTATCAGACCACCGAGGAATGTCACCGCTCTTAAGCCGAAATAATCGATTAGTTTAGCCGCTGGGAACGTTGCAACAAATGTAATGGCGATGGCTAGTGAGCCTACCATTGCTGAAACAAAAGGCAAAAACGAGAACATTAGATTTTGAATGGGAAGCTTTTCAGAGTGTCATGAAGATAAGTTACTTGAATAGGATCACGAAAATCGGAYTACTTTTGCAATGTAACTATATGCAATTATTGAAGAAAGAAACAACAAAGTATTGGAGTAATGAAGAAACTGAAATGGAAAGAAGAAAGGGAATTGAAAAAGTAAGACAACATAGAAWCATAAAGGGTAAAAAAGACAAACAATGTGTGCTGACAAACTACAAGAAACAATTTAAGAAGTGCATCAATTTMAACTAGAAATTATTTTGAAAAAGGACAAAAATTGATTTTCAAAAGTAAAATGTTACATTTTTGTGTGTTTCTCAGTGGGAACGATTCATTTTGACCTGTGACAATGCATATCAGAAACCACGTTCGCGCGCATGTTGGTCTACTCATCGAACCGGTATTAGTTGACCGACTTCTCACCGTTGAGCAWTTTCTCAAATTCCCTYCTCTCATCTCGATCTCTACCCAATCAATCACCAGCCAACAGCCAGAAATGTCGTGGAAATTCTCTCTGGTCTGATGTKCTACAACCTGTGCTACATTCTTTTTGAGCTGCTCTCTTCCAGAAATCAGCAGATCAAGCCTATTTTTTCACTACAGCACTTTCTATAAAACAAAACAATTTRAAAATGTGCAAGGTGTCAAAAAATAACCCCAACCTTGCATTCCTGCCAATGGGTTAGGTTTGAATCACGAAGGGCCTGAAGGAAGGGRAACTTGGAGCCTGGGACCTGAATGTTTTCCCCAGTCCCTCCTCTGGTGCTATGGGCCTTTCCCTTAACAACGTCACTAAGTTGCACAACAGTAAAAACAAAAGTAATATTGTATTTCGATTGTACTTCAGGCWGTTCACGAGGAAGCAGCAAACATTCCTCGGACAGTTCTTTTGGTATACGCCATGTGTGCATAATTTTTATTTCAGTGTTCAATTCAAAGTATTCGACCTTTGAAGTTTTTTTTATAGACATCCGCCATTTTTGAAATACTTTTATCAATACCATAATGCATTTTGTCAAAACTAAAATGACGTCATTGTTGGAAAAGACCAATATTGCACCCACTTTTCATTGGCTCTTTTTTAACCCCACGCCGTCAGACAAAGGGTGCTCGTAGTGCTGGTTGACYGTTCTCGATCACAGGAATTCAAACTCATCCCTATTTTTTATTATGATTCACTGTAAACGGAACGATTCTACTAAAGAAATCAATAGACTATTTATTTTATATTTTGCGCAAATTTAGGACGATGTCGATGGTGTCATATTTTACTACCATAATGCTTTGTGCACTGTGTTTAACTGATGTAGTTAGCTGAAATAGACCTAATTATCACCAATTTGGCTGTCATCTTGAATTGCGTTATTTTAATAGACCTCTGAAGGTTTTACGTCATGTACCGTGTACGCAATGCATTGTAGGATATGTTTGGGACAAACATGGCGGATTTCGTTTGTTTTCTCAAGAAACTGATCCCACAATTCATTGAAAATCAAGTAGTGACGTAAAAGGTTCAGAAGTCTATTATAGATCAAGTAAGAAACTATGGAATGCCCAGGGACTAAACAAGAAACTCAAAGACTGTGCGAATTTATATTGAGAATGATGTATGATATATATTATGTAAAGAGCACCGAAAAACCATGGTACGTTTAGATTTTTCGAAAGACCAATTAAAATTTTTGAAGCACAAAAATGTCGGGAAAATGATTAGTTTTCGGTACATCAGTCTTTGTAACAGTGTCTGTTTTTGCTCCCTGAAAATCACATARTTTCCTCATCATAATTTAAGATATCAGCCGTATTAGTAAATTGCAAGTAAGAATAAGAATTATGATGAATTCGTAGAAGCTTCTGGTATTAAAATGACATCATCGTGGAAATGTCCCTTTTTGTGAACCGTGGAGACCTGTCCTTCAGCGATAAGTGCGTTCTCTAGCCAGTCAACATTTATTTATTTCTATATTTGTAAAGGTAGATTCGGTTAGTTTCGAAATCTAGTTGTGACTTCGAGTASGTGAAATTGTTAAACTATTTGGGTTCGTTTGAGTTGGATAACTGAAAGGCCTGGCTACAAGGGGATCCTGCTCAAAACAAGTTTGACTAGCTTCCGGGAGGTCGAAAGCAAGACTCGTTTAACTCGTTTGTAAAGGGCTCATCCCGACGCCCAGATTGAAACATGTTTGACTGGTCAAAATACCTTGATTTGAGCAGAGTTTTTTGCGCTCGACTAGCGATGTTTATTTATAAATTTTRCGGGTTGTTCCACTGCTAAGCAACACTTGTCTAACCATGAATAAATCAATTATTCAAAACTTCACTTCTGTCAGCTTATCCAGAATATTTAATTTTGCCCATTTTATCTAAATATCTAAGTGAAATATAGATTTATTCTGAGTGAAAATTCTACAGTTAACCTATCGAAATAAAGGAAATTAAAAACCTATGAAAAAGAAAGCATTACTAAAGATTTGAAAAGGTTCATTRCTTTTGTAAATAAATCGGGAATTCAAATTTTATATTTTTATATCCAACAGCTAATTCTAGTTTCGTTTTTCCCCCTATCCTAAACTATCTACGAAATGTTCTATATGTTTGTAAGAAACATCGATCTGAATATTAACTACTTAGGCCAAAGTATACTAAAATATGAGGAAAAATTTGTTTTGTTCGGATTTTGTTTTTCACTCGTACCTGTTATGTCTATGCTTTCTTTGTACTGTTCCAGTAAACACGGTAAAATAACACCAAAACTCAAAGAGACGCCAAAGTGTAGAGCATTACATAGAGCCGCCAGGAAACACAAAATCCAGCACCAGCCCGTATCCGTTCCTTGTGATGAAGATTTTAGTCTTGAACATAAATCCATAATCGTCGTATATATACCAGTAGTTATTTGACAGTTGAACAGAATAGAYAGCGAAAGAGTAATATCGCGATAAATAGCCTTGTAAAAGGGATCAAGATTTGAGCCAGATCAAGTGCTCATGCAGTTCTGTCCTCACCAATTCGAAGTAAGTTTGTGAATGAGTATTCAAATTTACAGATGGTGGAAAAATACTACTGACAAGTGTCCTGCTAAACCAGTTTAATAAACCAGTATGGCGTTTAGCACGCGGTTTTGAAAAAAAAAAAAAACAAGAATAGCCAGCATTGGTCGTCGAATTTTCTCTATTTATCCATCGGCATTCTCTATAAAACAGATAGRTATAAAATGTATACGATTCATTTTAGGAAATAAGGATTATTACGCTGTTTTCGCTTTCAATTGTTCTTTTTTTCCTTAGCAAAACACTTAAAGAAAAGAGACTGTRGCTGTCACCATAGTTAATTAGGTATCACCATATCACTACTCCTGTATGCACTGAAACAAAACAACTCTGATTTGACAATTACAATATTATGATAATTTCTTATTTTCAACTTTCTAGATTTCATTTTCAATTCAGTTGCCATTGTATAGATAAGGTATCAAAATCTACTACTCAATGCCGGGTTTTTTTGTTTTTTGTTTATCCTCGTGACAACTGTTGTCACGCCACATCAAACAGAAAGTAACGTCATGACCATCGGCAGACAGACAAGCAGCCTCCTCCGTTAGCATGTCTCTTTATTAGCCCACTACGTTTGGGTTTCCTGTCCTCCTCCGTTCTCCTGAGACACGGATCTTGGGAATGTTTGTATCGGCATTCATTTCTTTAGGAATTGGCCGTCATCTTATATCATCAATTGTTAAAAACATCGAAAAAATATGTTAAAACAACAAAACAAATTCAAATTGTGAACAAAAAATTTTGAAAGTAATTTTCAGTAATATCATAGTTACTAACCAGGGTACTCTACGAAAATAGCAAAGTGTGCCTTTGTCCCGAAGTTCATTCAATAAAATTCTTCACTAGTAAGATCGTAGTGAGAATCCATAGTCAGACGAATAAATTAACTAGTGAAAATAATCTTTCCGGCTAAAATTTCAATGGTTWTTTATGTCAAAGGTCGTCTATCGAATTACATTTAATTCTCCCGGGRAAAATTACCACTGAAGAACCGGGAAAACCGATTAATAATCTCTAATTGAATTCTCCAGCCCCTTCAACTCCTTGAGTCTTTGTCATTGCAGTGTTCATTGATTATATTTTAAAAAACATGGACCTTAAAACAAGAGAAAGAGACGGGAGTACGTCCTCAGATGACCGATATACATCCTCGGAAGATCCATATACAGGTCCCTTTACACTTCTACCGTCYGGCAGCTCAGACTCGGAGGATGATTACTTCATAGAGCACAGAAGAAAAGAGCTATACGCCGGAACACCAACCAGCGAGGTGCTGTTGAATTTACTAAACAGTATTGTCGGTGCGGGGTTATTGGCCTTGCCGTACGTCATAGCGCAAGGCGGGCTTGTTGCTCTCATTTCGTTAGTTGTTGTGCCTGGTCTGTGTTACKATACAGGAAAGCTTCTCATTGACTGTCTTTATGAGGAAACTCTTAACGGTCCGAGAATACGTGTACGATCCACCTATATGGATCTTGGCGATACTTGCTGGCCAAGCTATGGTGGGATCATGACTATTATTATACAGGTATATTATACGCTTATATAACATATTGAGTTTATTATTATTATCATCATCATCATCGTTATTATTTATTATCATCATCATGAGTATTATTCTTATCATAATAATTATTTTTTTATCATCATTATTATTTTCATCATCATCATCATTACGAGTTTTACGAGTCCCTTTTTATCCGAACAATAACTTTTTATTGGATTTCTGATTTAAACGTAAACCTAGCAAATAGTAATTAATTTTTAGATTTTTATTGTAAATTTACTTTATAATATTGGTATATATAACACATTTGAGGTTTCTCTACATAGTGGAAGTAAGAAAAAAGGCATTTTACGACAACATTTRCTTCCATGACAATTATATGATAAGCACAATATTACATGGTCGCTTGGCCGATACGAATTTCATCTTGTCRTGTTGAAAATCTCGCTAAGCTCACTTGTAAGAGATCTTTTCAACACTCGAAGATAAAATCCGTATCTCCGCGCGCCCATGTAATATCCTCTATTTATTATATTATCATTAGCATATTATTATTATCATTATTATTATTATCATTTACTTTACCTCTCATGGCACAAACCCGTGCAAAAATAATATATCAAGTTTAACATCGGTTTCTCTATAATCATTAGATATTACAGCTTGTCCTATCAGCCTCTTCATGCATTGTTCTCAGTGCAAGTCTTCTCTCTCACATCGTGGATGGCTTTGTTCAATTATCTCAATGGAAATGGTTCTTCATCGCGGCTGTAGCCGTTCTGCCGACTGTTCTTGTAAAGAATCTTTCACAAGTGGCATGGTTGAACATTATTAGCGTCACTACTCTTTTTTCTTCCATCGTTGTTATCACTGGTTACGGCTATTTTACAAGTCCAGCCTGGGACATCCGGGATTTGCCATTATGGAAYTCAGAGGGAATACCGCTGGCTATAAGTATCATAGTCCACAGCTACGCACCCCATGGTGCTTTGCACAGCATCGAAGGCAACATGGCGGACAGATCCAAGTATAAAACTATGCTAACAGTGACATACRTTTTAGGAACTGTCCTGCGTACTGTGTTTGCAATCAACGGATTTTTTTCGTACTATGGTAGGATTGACGAGGTTATAAGTAACAGTCTTCCACCGGGAGTATTAATAACTGTTAACAGCTTATTGTTAGTGTACTCGATTCTATGCTACCCCTTCCAAGCATTCTCWCTAATACACATCATTGAAACGTCCCTGCCCAATTCCAAAAGTGCTTGCTCAGGGGATCGATGGTACGTCGTGTCACGTGTTGTGGTTACCATAACAACGTTTGTAGCTGCTCTTCTTCTTCCCCGTTACACTGTTCTCATGGCAATCAGCGGGATTTTCAAGGCGGTGTTAGCGTTTATTCTTCCGTGTCTCTTTCATTTGATGCTSAAAGGGTATGGCTTAGCTCCGTGGGCTGTCTTTCTAGATTTTTTAATACTTGCTATTGGAATTGCTATTGTTGTTGTAGGTACAACTGTCATAATCTTTCAGCTGATTGTCATCTACTGATTTAGGATTTTAAAGCAATGGAATTTTAGTCAATAGCCGGAATCAGAAATCGGGTGGTTTATTTCAGTAATATGTCTTGAATAGAATTAATGCATTCAGTCGAAGCGCAATATAACAYAAGCCATACTATTTTCTTGAATTCATTTGCTTGGCACTACAAATTTACCTCTATTMAGCAACGCTTAGGGACTTTTCAAACTGGCTGCTTAATGAAGGTCGACCGTTCAGTAGAGAGCGGATTGAGCACAAACAAAGATATTGAAAATTATTATTATGGCCGCCTTAATAGTGGCTGACTGCTTGATGATTGACCGACTATCAGAGGYCCAACTGTACTTTTTACAAACTTAGAACTTTATTATGGCCGAATAATAACGAGTGACCGCTAAATCAAGGTCTTTTATTAGAAGCTCGTCAATYAAAAACTATATTCATATTATATATAAATAATGATATAATAATTCTGTGCTAAAACAGTAAGTACTTGTAGRTATATTGCTTTGGTTGGAATAAAAGGATATTTAGTAAATAGGTCAAAGGATAGTGAGATGGAAAAATGCTTGTTTGGAAATCTGAAAGTGGAAAGAAAAGATGACACTGAACAGGCAGACAGATCAGGACAAAATGGTGATCTCGAWKGATTGSTTTGGCATTTTAATGCAAAAAWTAYATACTGTAATCTGTGTTAAAATGACAATTCTTAATTCATTCCCGGCATGCATGTAGTTGATATGCGCCATTTGATATAAGATAGTTGAATGTAGTTAATAAAACACTATCTATCTTCCTGTGTTTGTTTATACCTCTATGTGTTGTTTCTATCTATGATAATATAAAAATCACTAATTCATTAAGATCATCAATCCTCGATAAAACTAGGATTGACGTCGATGTTTGAATRGCAACTTAGTTGCTATTTGCATTACAGTTGTCTTGAACAGGACTCATCTCGACGTGAGCCAAAGTAAAGTTATTTGAACYTTGACGGCACCTAAACAATATCGGTATTAGGTGTACAGCGGCTGATGCAATAAGAACACATCCATTCACATAGAACGCCTTGGTGTATTCTCCGAAATCATCCGCAAGTAGCCCTGAGTAAAAAGAAGTGCAATGAAGTGAGAATAGAGGAAGCATGACAAAATAAGTTGACGTTAATTAATACGCACATGAAAACGGTGTACCATATTAGGTCATATGATTAATGCCATATTAGGTCAAAGGATTAATACCTAATATGTTAGAATGATGAAAACAAGCGGTAAACAAGTGTGAGCTGCGTCGCCATATTAGGTCAAATTCCAAACTTTGAGTAAAAAGCTTGYCTTGGTCTCACCATTCGTGGGRTCAAACTTGCATATCTAATATTTTTCACTTACTATAGATCTTTGTGTATTATCAAGTGAAAAGAACCAAGAATTTGCCCTCCCTCCTGCGTATTACTTTAGCATCTCGTACCTGTAATAGCTGGACCAGCAGCATAAAAAGGAGCGACAATAGAATTTCCTTGACCAAACGCTGAACCGGACTTTGATCTTTCCACAGTCGTCGTTAAGAGCACAACAGTGCTTGTTCGAAACATACCATCAGCAAATCCATAAATGAATATCAAGATTGCTAGATGAACATAGCTTGTGCTAAGAGTTAGAAGAAATGTAGCCATAGCACCAATCAGTTCTGACACCATATTAACCAYATTGGGTTTAATGCATGATATGTCRCAGAGTTTACCAGCGACGATCCTTGCTATTAACGATGCCAAACCCAAGAAGGTATATAAGCTKGATGCACTTGTGGCCGATAATCCTACCTCTTCTGAAAACTTGACCTGATAGAAAATTKGTTCAGTACCGTGAGTTAAAGCTCGTGAAAAGGAAAGTATGTATTGYTGTCTCGAGCTTGTAGTCGATAAAAARACTAAAAACTGTCCTTGTTGAGGCAACCCTTTCAATAGCCTCCTTCACGGTTCCCTGTGCTCTTAGMATCTTGAAAGGTAGCCGTGCCTTAACGTCGAAGCGAGACARCCGTTKAGCTTGCAATGATAGACACCTGTAAATAATTGTCTATAGTTGTGAAAGAAGGTTTCTATCATTGTACGCTAAACGGTCGTCTCGCTTCAATGCAAAGGCACGGCTACCTTTCAAGATAGCGCACGGAGACTATTGTCAATGTCAATGGAGTATATATGATATTTAACTCACCAAGTGAACAGAGACACTGAACAAAGAAAATGAGGCAAGACAATTCGAGATAACGGAAACAGTGAACATTGGAACTCTCCACACGGATAAATCAAACATAGCTCTCAAACTGGAAACCTTGCGATCTTTAGGTTGACTTTCAGCGGTCATTTTTTCCACGTGATCTTGAAGTAGTGCTGCATTTTCCTCAATATCTCGTTTACTTGCATCTTCGACGATGCTTTCACGAGTCTCTTTGTCCTCTTCTCCAAGATCGTTGACATCTTTATCCTTGCTTTGACTTTGAATGTGTTCAGGTTGCTCAACATTGTTATTCTTTTGGCTTTGACAACCAGAGCCACTAGTATTACAGCCAGTACTTTGTTCGGGATTCTTGGAGTCAACAACATGATCCTCATTTATATCACCTTTATTATTGGCAACGCCGGCCTCGCTCGATCTTTCAGTAGCATCTTGATTGCCATGACTTTCATTTTCCACATTGGGACTGAACATCAAACAGAGTAGGCCTGAGATAACTACAGCAGCTGTTTGAAGACGGAGTGCGTTTCTCCATCCCACAGAATCCAACAAATACTGCAAAATGTTGGGAACCGTCATAATGCCGAGGGCACCACCCGAGCTATTCAGCCCTTGGGCGAGTGAACGATGTTTTCTGAAGTATTTTACAATTACAAGGATATTTGTTGAGAGAACAAAGGACATCCCCATGGCATAGAAAATACTATAAGTTAAGTACAGTAACTCTACTCTCTGGATAAACGATGATACAGTGAAAGCTATAACCAATGACAAATGACCAACTCCATTCAGTATTCTGGAGTCAATAAACGAGTTTAGCCAGGTTACCATTACTGTTAAAAGAAACCGAAGTCCAATGGCAAGTGAACCTACCAAAGCTGCGGGRAAAAAACGAGAATATTGAGGGTTTTCATATAAATGTATTGTAAGTTACAGTTTCGCAGCTATTTAGTTACTACTGAGCACTGCTTGGAATCAACAGAAAACAGCAGACTGAGTGGTCAAAATCGCTTGTCTGAGAAATTGYAAAGGGAACTTTTCGCGCAACTAGTTTCCGTCATGCTTTTTTAAATAACGTTCAGGGAAATAGTAKCTTTTTTTTCTTGTTCTATTTTTGTTTAAAGCATGAATATGGACTATCACTGACGGTCGTTTTCCTTTGTTTTGATGCTGTTGGAAGTCGATAATGTACATAACCTTAATTTGAATTGCATAACTGGGCAAGCTAAACGGTATCGTTGAAAGCTATGGCCTTGTAGCTCAGCTGGTAGAGCATCGGTAGTACAAATCCGAAGGTCGTGGGTTCGAATCCCAGCGAGGTCGGAAATTAACTTTTCCGAATTTATTCCAAGGGTCTTTCTCCCGGAATTGCCTCCTTCTAAGCACTATAACTTTCTTTCATTTCTATATCGTTGAAAGCTAGTTGTTCCTTATAACATCACACCTTTGTGTGACGAATGATATTCGACAATTTAGATCCAGAGTTGTTTTCGGAAGGAGCACTTCTGCAGGTAGGGGGTTGCACACCACAATAGTGGTCACAGAGTAGGCGAGAGCAGAGCATAGTATTCAAGGGTTCGAGGTCTCAGTACCGGTGGGGAGCACCCACCGGATACGGAGGATCCGCCTCTTATAGTGTAGTCTGAATTTTGTTTTAGTATGCATGTATTACCTATTTTATCGCGTCCTTCATTGAACTCCTTCATCAAAACAGGAAGGTAAACACCATAGGCCCGCGCTGACCCAATGAACAACCACGATTGGAAGAAAGTACACGTAACCACGAGGAAGGACCAGGGTCCATCTTGCTTGTGTGGTGGTTTATTTGGCCGCCTCGAATTGCATAAACAACACGACGGTAAAGTCATTTTTGATTGTTGGATAACCTGAAAATCACATATGATGGTGAATACTACATATCAAAATCCAGTGGCTCATTTTACCATCTTTGATTTCATTCTCAAAGAGACTTATAAACCATCATATAGGCTAAGGCCTGGGTCCAACCACGGGCTTTAGGAGACTCCTTGTTTCGAGTCGTGAGAAATTCTTGTTCATGGACAAAAGAACACCCTATTTACTTATTTGAGTCTTTAATTGCTAGTCAAATAAGCTTGTGATGAATAAACATGACTTTATGGTCTGCTGAGTCCATTTCTTTCCATATTTATAGTAACAGTTACAACTAACCTCGCGCCATTTTGAATTTTACACTGGTATTCACCAGTCCTACGCGATTCTCTAACTTAACCGCCAAACATAAAAACCCCCAGGGTAGGCCCTAAGTGGGCGTTGCCCACCTCTCTGCCAATGGGATCGATGGATTTTGTACCACGTGATCATTTTGAATCGTCCAAAGCTTGATGCAAGCTGTGTCGTCATCTAAAATTTCGTCCCGCTCGCATCGGGGTCACAAGTAAAATGCTTACTAATAAGTTCTTCATCTCTGTAAAAGAATATCCAATAAACGAAGTTCGAAATTAATCTGTACGTAAATAACGAAATTCAAATTTTTAAAATTAACGATAAATCGATCAATTTAAGTTGTATTTACATGCTATCCGCCAAAAGCACCATTCATTATTCTTCGCTTGCAAAGTTATCAGCAAAATTATCTTGTAACTACTCACTTGACTATTTTTTCAGCTGTAATCCTTACGGAAAACTTCTCAAAACAAACGGATTTGTATTGGATTCAAGGGGACAGGGTAGTTTCCTTATATGGGTGAAGGGGACAGGGTAGTTTCCTAATATGGTGATGACGCGTCATCAGCTAGTATTGAGGATTGTACGATGGATTGGCACTTAGGGCCTACCCTGGGGRTTTTTRTGTTTGGCGGTTGAGTTTTAGCTAGGGAACCACGCAATTTGATCGGACGGTAGGACTGGTGAATACCAGTGTATAATTCAAAATGGCGCGAGGTTAGTCGTAATACTGTTATTATATGGACAGAAATGGACTCAGCAGACCATAAATTCACGTTTATTCATCACAAGCTTATTTGACTAGCAATTAAAGACTCAAGTAAGTAAATAGGGTGTTCTTTTGTCCATGAACAAGAATTTCTCACGACTCGAAACAAGGAGTCTCCTAAAGCCCGTGGTCCAACGTGCACTCTCAAATTTCCAGCTATTTTCAGCAATTTGAGGGGCTTCGAGAACATATTTTTGGGGAAAACGTAAACTAAATACATACAAATAGCGGCTATTTACAGACAGTTTGTCAGTATCAATGAACCAGAACGCAATCAAGATGCCCCGCATGAGACCATTCTTACCTGAATTTATAACGATTCATATCGTATGTTCTTTGTCACATAATAGGTAAATTATCAGTCTGGTTCATTGATAAAAAAAATTGTCTCTAAATAGCCGCTTTTGTTCATGGTTTT